CCGTAGACTTACCCTTTTCACATCGCGCCCCATAGTAGTCACCATAACATATGCATGTGTACGAACCAGTTGAGGAGTCATGATCAGCGTGACAGTCGCCATTATTCAGACACGGACCTTCTGCGCATGGTTCGTATTGGCAGACGTCACCATTAAATTCTTCCTCGCAGTCACAGAATTCGGAACCCCACCAATCCGAACATATGCCGCCATTTAGACAGTAATTGAAATCACAGATCGCTATTGTACAGAAAGTAAATGAAATGAAATCCAATAGCATTTACATGTAGCATTTATTGTAGCAGTTGGTGGTTAAAGACGTTTGCCTTCCAATCCTGGGCTCTTGGGTTCAAATCTTGTGGATACACCAGGATTTTTTTCTTATGACTATCGAGCAAGCACACGCCCTTAACTTTTATTAGACTACTACGTAAACTCGCTTCAACGTTGATAAAGATAACAGAAGCTATCAAAATATCCGTTTAATTATTTTTTAATAAATTTATGTTTCCCAAGTCAACATTCACTGATTGAACATCGTCTTCCTGTGGTTTTTACATTTTCGTTTTACTTCAAGCACACATGCAAATCCATTCTTCAATACATATACACATACATGCACAAATCATATCGGTTTAAATCCCAAATGCAGTCATATAATTTATCTATTTGTATTTTTTAAATTATATTGATAAAAAAAAGTTGGGTCTTACAAATGATGTTCAATTAACAATATTCAAATATACAGTATATTTGATTATACTTACCATCTGTTACGCCTGTCAGAAATATGGACACGCTAAGAGTTATAATGATAAACAACCTGTCCATGTTGGCTACAAGAATATCATTCTGCACAGTAATAAATATCAAACTGGTTAACGTATATGAGCCGGGATCAATGAGGTTACCAAGAAGCACGTATACTATTTTACATACTTACCAACATCACCTTTGAATTACCACCGCTAATATCTTAATGTATTTACACTTGTTACAGAATTCCCTATTGTATTACGACTTATTTATAATAACATTGATTGTATATTGTTCAGTAAGTAGGTCCAGCTGGCGTACGATATTATATTTCCATTGCAATTTCTTTAAAATTGTTCCATTTCTTCAATCGATTTTATGTATGTTCTCAGTTTCCCATCCATTTCACTCTGTTGTAAAATTATAATAAATATATAGATTATATATATATATATATATATATGTATATGTATATATATAGGTTTGAAAATGATTGACATATTAAACCTGTCTCTTATACACATCTAGATGTGTATAAGAGACAGCGTATATCCTGATATGGTGAACATAGTGAAACGAAGACGTCGAAGAAGAAAACATTCGTAATAAAATAAATTTTATATATCCTGAAAAATCGTCAAACGCCTAGATTATATGTGCCAGCAATGTAAAAAAAATTGATAAGTATATTTAATTGATTTAAGAATCTTATAATCCGTAAATATAGCTCAAGCTTATATTTTCATTGTAGCTTTATGTGATATGAAAACTAAAGCTTTGCATATAAGCCTTAGAGACAAATATAGCCCTGATTCTAGGCTAATGATAATTATTAGACTGATATGACGTACCTATTAGTCTTAATATTAGTTATAATATGGATGTTTGAATGCACTCTAGAGAGTATCCCGTACACATATAGCCTACGATGTAAATATTTTTGAGTCAGTCAGCTATTGCCAATATTTATGGAGGATTCAGTTTTCACATAAATCAAAATCTTGTCTCTTTATATATATAGGTAAATCATATTATATTATAATCATTTGCCAGGTTCGCGAATACTTTGCACGCTGTAGAGAGAAATACAGACTTGTCTATTAACAGAAATAAAGATGAGAATGACAGCATTTTCAGACTAAGATGAATGTAAGGTGTCACCAGTAAGCCCATGATTTTTCTTTTTTTTTCTTCAGAAAATGAGTTTACGTTTACGTAGGTACACCCTGCAAGGACTTAATGGTTCGTAAGCGCAGGGTAACAGGGGCTGTATGGACCAGTACACCGGGGTAACCCCCTACTCGTCTCGAAATAAATTATGTGCTTGGTTCTTTAAAGTGTACATGAGTCAATTGTGTACACTGGGCCTACGATTTATAGTCCTTATCCGAGAAGACTTGTTCCAGTTATCGATATATACTGTAGGCCTTTTTTGACATGTGATATTATAAGTTATATTTTTTAAATTTTTAAATAGCTCATTGATTGATGACAACCGGAGTAAGACCATTTTGAATTTCAAATCCTAAAAACGTATACTTTAGAGAATATCACCTTTAAACATAAACAATTTCTTGTTGGTTTACCTGTTAATTTTTGAAAAACTGAACTGTACCTCAAAAGCACCTTTAATCTATGTAAATAAACACAGTAGATTTGATATTTTATTTTATTCATTTATTATCCCAACCAATAGCAGACATAAAATTCGCCACTTACTGGAGGGAGCACAAACAACAAACGGATAGCCTACATAAATATTGTAAACGTGAGGAATACAAAAACAGAAATATAAACTAATAATAATAGTACTAATAAGTACTACTACTACTAATAATAATAATTATGATAATATCAAATTAAGTGGGCCTAATATGTAAAATTAATAGGTCCATGGAGAGAGCATAGTCACATAAATATCTGGATTCCTTAAAGCAAGAGGATTATAAGCTAAGCTTAATCTAATAAAACCATTTTAAGATCATTTACGCTACTAAAGGGAATATGAAAAGTAGTATTATTTCTAAGGCGACGACTGGGGACTAAAACTACTAAAAAAATCGCAATCGAAAATAGAATGAACATATTTGTATTAAAAAAAAAACAAGATCAAGAAACCGCCTACGTGACTCATGGGATTGAATGTGAGGAATGTTATGGTTATGACTGTGGCAAATGTAGCGCAAAAAGCGATTATGTAATCGATTAATACGTGAAGCTTGGGTTTTGGAAATAGAAGTATATATAAATGAACAAAAGTCTAAATATTGATAAATATTAAAATTATCAGAAACACTAAAATCCATTTCTTTGTCAAAGTATGACTTTCCAAAAATTGTCTTGGATTATATAAAATTGACCTGTGGCGCACTGACACGACTCATTTTGTGTTCTCTTCCACCTCCCAAATATAATAATACTCAAGATTTAACGAAGAAGTCCACGATATAGATGATACTTTGAGTATATAACATTTATGATAGTCTGTAAAGTGATTTCCTCTACATCATTTACCGTATTTTACGAGATTTAAGTTTAATGAAATGTCGGATGTGGCCTTTTTATTTTGTTTATGGCACGATAACACTCTTATGATACAAATCTATTACGTTTATGTTTGTTTGCAGTAAAGTGCTGCTCTTTAGGCGTACATCATTTAGGCCTATTTTACGAGATTTAGTTTAATAAATGTCAGATCTCTTTATTTTGTTTATTGAACGATAACCCTTATGATACCAGCCTGTTAAGTTATATTTTCACACAACTAAGCTTTCTGTTTCATCCGGCAAATAATTCTTCCCATTAAATATATCAATTTAACTTAAAAAGCTCACTTGGTTTTCGGTGGATATCTGTATATGACCGGTAGCGTGTGTGTTGTGCACAGTCGGGTATGTGTCCTATAAATTAAAACAAAATTAATCCAATGGATTTTCTTTACTAATTAATATTCATCGATACTCCTAATCTTAATGCGCCCTCTATTGACATAGACTCTACAAATGTATGTACAGACAGATATTAAATGATACAAACAGTAGAAAATGATATATAGATTAAAAGGCAAAATACTGGAAAACAACAATGCTGTGGGAAACAATGGCTGGATCTCAGTAGAGATACAAAAATGATAAGCAACAGCTAAAAAGTAAACGTAAGTAAAAAGCCAGAAATAGAACCAGAGCTTTCGGACAATATATATATATATATATATATATATATATCTATATATAAATATATATATAAATCATTTCGGCGGATTTAAAGACTTAATTTTAATTCAAAAACTTGTATTAGCCATTCAGCAATCAATGTGAAATAACCACATTCATAGTTCACTAGTAGCGGTAATTGCTGAGGAAAATGATACAATGCAACAGTATTGATTGCATTGGCATGTAATTTATCAAAGTATGTCGCTTGTTGTCACCAAATCATAAGCTATGTGATGAAAACTGTTTCACTTTCCTATCGAGCAGTCTGTCAATCAACACGAACACTTGTTTTTATTTTCATCACTTTCACGTCAAGCAGCGTCAGTCGACGCATTGTTCACACAATGCAGACGCGAATATACCATGTGAGTATAGTTGGGAAATATTCGGCAAACTAACTTTAATAAATGCATTTTTACAATAAATTTGTCTCGTACTTAAAAAAAAACGACAACAGCGTAATTGTTCAGGTTAATTTTATTAAAAAGCTTAACTTTAAAATAGACAAAGAAGATCGAAGCATAATCATATTAACTTATATAACACTTTCCGAATTTTACACAACGATACATTATCTATAGTGAGTTTATCTTATGTCTATTTAAATCATGATACTTTAAAACATACATTTGTATTATCAATTAATTGCACATCCATCGACTCGGAAATTATCTAGATTAAAAATTATAAAAAGCAATGGCGACAAAATTGTGCATAAGATAGATGGTTGATCTTTAGGCAAGATTGATTTGACTTTCATAAATCTCCATACAGTATCTGTTATTTACAACGTACAATATAATATCTAACTTAAAATTTCCATGTTTAAATGAGTGTATAAACAGAAAAAAAAAACAAAAAAAACAAAACAAAAAAAACCAAAAAAAAAAACTCCACAAACTATAACAATGTGATAATAAATTCTGGGCAACTCAGATTCGTTTTTAAAAGTAAGAAGGATCATACAGAATAAGCGCACGTTAATATAGGCCTGCCTAATTTCTTAGTATAATGCATATATATAAATAAATCATGAATATCGTCGTTGTCATCGTTATCTATGGAAATATTTTGACGTAACGTATAGTCAAACTATATTTCATTTATGTAGCTCAGTCCTCATTAAAACGAATTTTCTTCCTATCATTCAATTAAATCCATTGCTTGCATGGTTTCGAATTCATCAAATGGAACTTCTGTTTTATTAATATGCATTGTATCCTTTCCATAATAGTGAAACAAACAATACAATAAGCCTTCTCATAGTTTCAAATACGTATGGCTATGTCGAAGTTCAAATTCTTTAAACAAACACATTTTACGCGTATGTATTGTTTGCCTTTTTGTTGTTGAAAATTGGTTGCATTATTCGCTTGATGAAAATTTTTTGAATATTCATTATACTGTAAACCGTTGAGTGTTTAGGGCTTGTGTAAGTCATGCTAGATGTTTAGGGCTTGATGTGTAATTTAAGTTTAACCTGTATGTTTTTTCCTTTAAATTTGCATAGGCCAAGACACACTGACATTTTAACGTAATAAATATCTGAATTTGAGTCTTTATGTGCCATGACCTTTGAGATTCATGCGCAGTCGATACCACTGAAGGGCTTATTAATTTGCAGGAATATGGAAATAATTTTCAATCATTTAAAATATTTCAACGATACTTTTTTAAAACAGATTTCATAATTAATAGTTTCAAGAATTGATTTTATCTGGCCGATGAGATATAGGACACTCAAATCACATCCATAAATATCTGGTCTTGGCACCGTCTTTATGACTTGTAGCTGAAATCATATCCAAATAGCATAGAAATATGACTCCATGTACGAAGGAAGACATAATCTGTACTGCAGTCACTGTATTACAAGAAAAATAGTTCGGTTTATTGACGAATTTAAAATGAATACTATCTGTCTTTTTGTAACTATCTCAGAAGCTAACTTCATACTATTTTCCGAGCTTATGCTCATCCATTTGTCTATTAAAATATAAACAGTCTGTAGTAAATATTCGATTGTACAACCCAATGAGATATTAACATTAATACGTAATCGCCGACCGTTTCGCACCCACCCGACTATGACGCTAGAACAACTTTAGCGTTATTTCGTCGGGTCATGTGATGTTTTTTGACCAATCTTGTTACAGATAAGTATTTCCACCTATTTTGCTAAGCGTCCATAATTGTAAATTCATCGTTGAGGTCTATGGGCTGGTTGATTGGACGGGACTTGTTGGTTTCCCCGCAGCAGAACTTGTAGTTGACATACCCGATACATATACATAACGACACAATACCTATTGTTGATCCTGCGGTCATAGAAATTATCGTACCAACCGTGTATCCATCTGCTGAATCAAGTCCTACGTGGGTAATATGAATGATAATGAAAATAATGTTATGCAAATAATTTAGAATGTAATGCATACACACAACATTGTATAATTATTTGTATACATAATTAGATACATATATACAACCATAAATAGGCATATGTATTATATATAGGCCTATCAATATAAACCAGTAAATGTTAGAAAAAGTGCTCAGATTGGAACATATTATGTTAAAACGTATCTGGTATAATAGTGTCAGGTTTGTAGGCCTATGTGTGTTTTCCAAATGAATTAGGCCTATCTGAAACGGAGTAAATTCTCTTTAATTATCATTTCTTCAAATCGTTTTGGAAAATTTGGTTTGTCAATTTTTTCTTTGTATACTGTACTATTGTTTTTATGTCATTTGGTGTTTTAGATTTCAGATCCTTATCGTAAGGGCATGTTTGTTGTATATTCTAACAAATTAATTAATTAATTAATTAATTAAATAATTAATTAATTAATACATTACATTAACCATCATCATTATTATCACATAATCATCATAGTCATTATAATCATCATCACCCATTATCCTTCTCATCACCATCGTCCTCATCATCATTATAATTCATAATAATCTTTATATAAATAGATTTGGCTGAGGTGAAATACACAATCTCGAACATGGGTAGTCAAGTGTTGAAAACACCTGGTTTCCATAAAAAATCGATACGCGCTATCGCCAACTCCTTTGGCGACGCTGATTGGTCAGTTGAATCAGGGAGAATTCCCGATTGCGTCGACGGGGACAACTACGCAGTGCAACGATTGCAGTAAAAAAAAAATCTGCAGCAACATTGTAGCGATTGTATGGAAACCTAGCTTAACTATACTTACGTATGTCACAATTTGTTCCCCAATAGTTATTAGCGCACTTGCAATATCCACCGTTTTTAACTGTCACGCATGTAGCCCCGTTTTCACACGGGGATTCCTCGCAGTAAATCCGACGAGAGGTCTCACAGTGCACACCCAGATATGCAGCCAAACAGACACAGTAATAAGGTTTCCGCAATCCAGGTCGGCAAGTGCCTCCGTTCAGACACGGGTTTGGATCACATGCTCCTGAGAACAACACCAATAAAATTTACACGTACGTTAGCCACGATCATATCATTAGAGGCCTAAATTACTTTTTTTCCGATACGTCATTTGAAAGCGCCTAGCCGTTAAAACCTCGAAAATGTAATTTATCTAGACTACTTTGGCTCATTAGACCAGGTTGTGAATAAGTTAATGACCGATGACCTAAGACCTGGTTTCCATGACTTGGTATCATTCTTAAGTAGTCAATATGTTGTCGTGGTATTAAAAACAAAGTAGTCTAAAAATCAAACTAGAATGCATTTCCGATCAAATTTCTGCTAACGTTAATAGGAAAATACACGCTACGCAGTTTTTATTTCCGTACAACCAATTAAATCAAATATCAAAGAGGTTCGGCTAAGGACAAAGATCGATAAGGTAAAAGAAAAACGCCATCGGAAAAGGTATATTTTATAATTAAGCACATAGGGACGACATGAATTATATTTGCTTGATAATACTGGAGACCTGAAAATAAAAATACTGAATAATTTTATAATTTATTGTTATCATTATTATCATTATTATTAATAAATAATGGTAATAATAATAGGTATATCATAGATGATGATATAATAATGACATCCCGATACTTAATAAAAATAAGCGATAATGAGAATTAATGATGATAATGATGATGATGATAATAATAATAATAATAATAATAATAATAATAATAATAATAATAATAATAATAATAATAATTACATAATATAATAACAATGCCGAGTGGCCGTGTTAATCTATCTCCGTGGGCCCTGCCTACGTGTGCCAGCCGCGTGGGCCGTGTTATTACGTATTTTAGATTCGTATACGGTAGATTAGTACTAAACTAATATTTCAGGGCACAAACATACACAGAAATGAAAAAACATAAAAAATAGAATTAGGGCTTTGATAGTATAATATATATGCGTTTTAGTGACACTGCCAGCTTCCACAATGACAACCAAACTTAACTGGCCTATCAAAACAGGACAGCGAACATGACGCTTGTCTCACAAATACAGACGCACGTGTTTACGTACTAACAGGCGGTTGCTATGTGTATGAACGAACTTTGGCAACAATATACAAGGGGTGGGGCTCAACGGACAGGTTTATTTGACATGCAAAGGCACCAAATACTCTACATCAATATTTTCAGTTGACACCAATAACTCGTATCTTATTGATCAAATTCTTTGCTTCATGGTTCAATATTGACAGGAACTCAAGGTCGAACTAATTAAATAATTTAATAACAATTAACAATTAGGCTAGCTGAGGTTACAGAATAAACTTTAAATGGACATATTATCAATATGATTATTATACCAATAATAATTATAACACAAAAATAGTTATCATAATTAAGAAAATACTATTGCAATTAATGTTTAATAATAATGATCAAATGTGTTACACGCCTAATGGTGGTTATATAAGGGCCTATATAGGCCTATACATATAATTATAAATATATAGATGTGTATATATACACGGTATATAATATCACTATAAATAATTCTATTACTGTATTAGTACTCTATTATTTATTCAGGATATGACATCGTAAAGTTAGTCAGAGATGAGGAAAGGATGCGATTTCGTTAGCACACAACTATAAAGACAACTTTATGATGCGCCATAGATAATAAGTAAAGCATAAAACCTAAACTGTACAACTCATTAGTTAACGAAAGGCAAGAAGCTTAGTAGAATAATTAGTACGTGTACGAAGTTCGCTTTGAACATCAAACTTGTAAAACCTATAAAAGATGCTTTGTGAAATACCAATTTCATTGACGTAATCATTCCGTTAACTATTTCAAACCCGATTTATTAGACTTACTTAAACTTTTCCTAAAGCAGATTACATTTTGACAACATTCAAAAGCGAAGATTTTATCTTAAGCACGATATATGATGATTGGGCTGTAAGTATTGAGAAGATTAAAAATTGAGGAGTTGTGGGCATTATACTCCGTACAGGCTCCTATATTGCTTCCTGGTTGTTGACAAATAATGTATGTTTTTTTTTTCTGTATCATTAGTATGTTTCATATAGCTTTTTTGTGTTTAAGTAGTAATGATAAAAGTGAAGTGTAACAAATAAAATACAAAAAAAAAAAAAAAAGAGAACTATAAAATAGGAAAACAAAAATTAATTATATAAAAGTAAGAAAATAAAAAATAATAGTGAAAATACCAAAAAAAAAAAATAAATAAATAAACAGTTTTAAGCAGAAAGAAAACAAGCTTATTTCTTGAAAACAACTAATGTAGAATCGAATCCCATTAGGTTAAAACTTTAATTGTATACAAATCTTGGCTGTCTTGCATATGGCTCTACTTCATTGTTAACAAAAGTTTGAGAGAAGAGTTTTTTTTTTGTTATTGTTTCTTAAATGTGTGCCTTTTTATCTGTCAACGTATTATGTAACTTTTCCATTAAATGTTAAATAAACACACACGAAAAAATAAAAGCAGAAAAAAAAAATTGAGTTCTAAAATTAATAAAGAGAGTGCAGATTCGGAAGTGATAATTAATCATAATAAATCAATATAGTCAAAGTTGTCATAGACAAGCTCCTGATTGCGCTGGCGCAAAGTTAATGCAAAGAAAAACGCCAAGGTAAAAACGACCGATCAGGATCAGTAGTAGCAATCCCATTCACCTACGTCCACTCCTTAGAACAAAAACTTAATTCCATGATCAGAACAACTTAAAAATGGACTAAAATGCCCAAGCTCATGTGCGCCATTGTGCTTCGTCAATAGATCCCACTTCATTTTCTAAGTCTTGACCGGGGGCCCTGTGGGCCCTTATATTCCACCATATATGGTAGGTCACCCAATTCCTATTGAATTTATATCCTTGAGTCACCAGTACCAAGGAGAAGAAATCAAATTAATACTCGTAGTAATGGCAATAAGTCAAGACTAAGTCTTACAATATATAGTCTATATATATTAATGTTCAGTCGTGTAACTGTCACTTATACGTAAAAGAATGAATAATGATGTACTAAAATGTATGAAATGTGCTGCTGGCAATCGTAATATGAAACAGCGTACAAAATTTCCTATTGATATATAGACCTACATAATAATGTATTACAATTATATATGAAATATACGTAAATCACCATCATCACGATTTACATTAATTCTCTGAAGGGGTTTTTGAATACATGGCTATTGTTTAGTGAAACACCGAGCCGATCTTGTTTTATTCCTAATACGAATTAATTTTAAACATGATTTACTGTATCTATGCTTCTTAGGCCCAATGCAAATAGATTGAAAAAATAAGCTGTATTTTCAATATAAAATTGAAAATTATTTGTTTGTGTCATAATGTTGGTGGGTGTACTCCAACAATAGCCAATTGATTACCACAACATGACTTTTCTATATTTCAATAGGTCTATTATTTTTGTAGGCTCTACATACTAATGTTATAAGTATAAATTGTAATATTTATCATCATACTAATCAGTTGTTATCAATTTGCCCACTCGATAAACACAGCAATATATAACATTCTTTTTATTCCTAGCATGCTATATATTGGTAAAAATGTTGTTATTAAAATTGTTATTTTAAACAAAACAGCTGCCGCGTAATAATTAAACGAATAACACATCATTACTCCGTATTCGGCTTTCTTATACCCCGGAGTTGTCTCTGGGTGTCTTATCCCATTTAGATCATAAGGCGATATGCATGACTGTTTTGTGTTTGCCGACAGTGTATCGCATGTGATGCGGCTTAGGCCCGTACAAAATAATTTTACTCAGTCGATCGATCTTGCTCCCGCGCGTGCTTAGCCGCTTTCTTAAAGAAAAATCGAACAAAATACAAACTTACCTTGGCCTAGGCTTAGAGGAAGAAGTATTGAAAGGAAGAGAAGGATAGATATAGACATGATCGCCTTAAAACTACATCCTATAATATCCATCTACAGGAGAATCGAAATATTAGCCGCCTGCTTGTGAAAATCCGTGTCGAATGCGATTTCCATTGTTTGGACAACATCCACAAAATCGATGATGAAACACTACCGATTATGATAACAACTACGGTACCGTACCGTCGATAATTTAGACAGGACATAAATTATTCGCCCATAAGACTCATTTGATAATATTTTCTAGATCATATCTGAGTCGCATTCATGATGTAGAATGACTTCAGTTAATCATTGGATTTTGTTTCATGAGGTTTAGTCGTGTCTTGTAACACCTAAATTACCGACTAAGTATGTAGCTGGTGGCTGCGGAGATTATTGTACGTGTATACTGTAAAGAAATTAATACTTTTGTAATCAAATCATCAGCATCGGTAATTAGCAGTTATAAAACCATTTAAAGGAATCAATTGGTCATACGTCATCGTACCAGCAATGACTTTGGTTTTCCAAGCCGATTCATACTAAATGTCATTATGTATTACTATACTAATTTTAATACCGTACTCTATTGTTACAGATTAAATATAATAAGCTGCTGCTACTACTACACCACTACTATTACTACTGCTAATGACAATGCTGCTGGAGATCCCGTCTAGTTGCTTAAAGTACTTAAGTTCAGGGTGTATCATATGCATTGTGAACTAGCACTATTCCACTACGTATGTGCAAAAGAGTGTGACAAATCAGGTCCCGGGTACGAATCACATTTCCTTCATTGACTTTCCGTATAAATATGATATATATATA